ATAAACTGTGGATCAAGCAACAGGCACAGTACGGACAATATGCAAAACATTCTTCACTATGGAAACTGGTCCCAYGTGACCAAACATTATTGATTGAAAGGAAAAATTAAGCAGAAATCAAATAACTCTCAGAACSTAATTTATATAAAGATGATGGAAGAGTGACTGCAAGAGATGCAGATCAATTATATAATAAAGGAAATACTGTGAGTTTTCAGACTCATCCAGCTTCACACAATAAAATGGATTTTAAGATCTCTGCCATTGTCACTAGCAGTAGGGCATGAAAATGCTCTCTYCTGTTTGGTGAGACTCTGTGTGACTGGCAAAGAAAAAAAACCTATTTGTGATCAACCTGTCATGTAATTCCAAGTAATTCTGTGCCATGAAAATATACAGTGGCAATACYTTGAAGAAATAATTGCCAAATTTGACAACTTCGTCGGTTGTACTTTGTGATTCCAACAAAGGTAAAACAGACTCATTTAGACTGTGCTTTAAAAGAATGACCATACCATATTTAGTGCTAGTAATGAAGACATGTGTAATTATTCACATTGGTAGAAATGTGGGACTACCATATCTGAAAATAGGTCTAAGATATTTATTGTTACATATCACTGTGAAAACAGTCATATGACAATTCAGTGTGTAAGCTCTTTATATGCTGGGCTGGTTTATTCAAGAAAACTTAAACATGGCTGCCTCAAAATAATGTAACTGTTCCCTACTTCAATCCTTTAAATTCCTATAGAACCAAGAGCTGAGTTTGGTAATCAAGCTTCTATTGTGGCATAATACTTTCAATGAAATCTGCTTTAGCAAAAAAAAAAAAAAAAAAGCAGTTTAAATTCAGCAGAGTACTTTGACAGTGCTATTCTTTTCATGAAAACTTGAATTTTCACATTTTTAGTACTAGCAATATAAAAGTAGGGTCTTGTCTATGTTTTAGCACTGCCTCATGATACTATATTACAGTTGGACTCAATAATCATAAAGGTCTATTTGAATCTCAACAATTCTATGACTCTGTGATTCTGYGGTTACCATTGTCACATTCTACTATCCTGTTCCAAGTACTGTTATATAGGAAAGGAATTTAGGATATCACAACAGAGCCTAAATGATGCTGTGGTCAACACTGAATGTTTRGAAGCAGTATTTTTCTTTATTTTGTACAAAAACGGATGGCACATTACCAGCAACGTGGAATGCCAAAGCCGATGCTCTCAGAAATGCTGTGACACACTTTTTTATTCAAACCAAGTAAAAAGTACTGTGTTTGGTACCCAACGTAATGCGGATTAAGGGACATTTTTCCTGCACAGTACACCTTACCCTTTTCTTTCTRTGAAGCAAAAAATGCTAAACTGGGTTTTGTAGCTGGGCTAAGCCTCATATTTGTGATGGTGTGATACCTTTGCAGCTGCCACTGGAGCTGTCTGATTAAGAGACACACTAAAGGTCATTGAACCTAACKAACATCCAGTTGGTGGTGCTTGGAAAGTGTCCCTTCACCCTGTCTGAGAGTGATCCCTTGAAAAGTGAAGATGATTTTTGGGGTGCAAAAATGCATACTCTGAGATCTGTTTGCACCAGAAGCGACTTTGTCTATGGGACAATACTATCCAAGCACAGGCACTTATATGGAACAAATGAGA